AGTCTTAGGCTGAGGGGTGTGGACGGTGGTTAATATAAAACTACAGGCGTTTGAGCGTGTTTCACTCCAATGCTCATTTGGTTTGCGGATGTAGTGATGTGGTCATTGCGTGGGGAGGCTGATAAGAGTGAGTTGCTATTTTTCTTGATGTGGTTGCTCTTTTTTGCAGGAAATCCAAATGAATGTTCAGGAGCAAGTGAGAACACAGATCATGAGGGAGCTGAGAATCCTGTACAAATCGTACAACAGAAATGTCGTGCAATGTTTCAATGCATTCCACAGCAATGGTGTCATCTCCATTGTTCTAGAGTACATGGATGGTGGCTCTCTTGCTGATGTTGTTAGGGCTGTGAGACGAATTCCCGAGCTTTACATTGCTGTGATTACCAGGCAGGTAAGATTGGAAACATGGTGGAAGTTCTGCAAAACCCATCTTTTACGAGGCTGTGATGCTAAAGCCAGAAAGGCTGGAGACCTAGTTGAACGCGTCGTTCTGCTCTCGAGTATTTCTCTCTTGCAGTCAGAACACACAGTTTATGAAGAAGGCAAGGGTAAGCCGGTGACAAAATGTCATATGGGGCGGGTGAGTCCATGGAGGTGTGTTATGCATCGTCGGTCGCTTGGGTTCTGATGGTGGTGGAATGGATGGTTGGATTGATCTATGTACTTCTCAGATCATTGATTGCATGGCGTCACACACATAACAGTCTCTTAGGACCTGATGGCATGCAAAATCATTCTGTTGTTTTTGTCTCAATGGTTATCGGGTTGGTGCCGATAGTCTGTAAAGGCCAAAGGCTGCATGGGACATCCTGGCCTGACTCTTTTCCATATCCCGTGTGGCCTATTACTTGGATGTCGTTGCCATGATTGACCAGTGGCACCCTGACATCCTCAGTCGTTTTCTATGGCCCATTGCAGGCCGCAGCTACTGGCCTCAAAAGCCTTTCGCTTATCCTAATGCAGCCTACCGCCTAGCTACTGTCATAACCCGAATAGAACACCTTCTCTTTATCACAGTGTTTGAGGCAACTTTCAGTCTAGATACAGCGATAATGACCAGGAGCTCTATTCGGATGAGGACGGTTGTATGGTGCTGCTGTGTATGCTATCTAATCCCGGCTTTACTATCCGGCTTACTTGTGGGCATGCTATGTTCCCGACGTACTGCTTATCACTTGGTGTATGCCTACCATATCACATTCTCTATAGGTAGGGATGAGTAAGAGGGAGCACAGGAATAGAGGAGGAGCAGCGGGGTACGGTGGTGGTCTTTGGGTGGAGGACAGTGCGTGGGGAGAAGACGAGGGTGAGCAGAGAGAGGGCGAGAGCGGGGACGTACCTGGTTCGTCGTGGAGGTCTGCGTGGGCGACATCTGCACGTACTTTTGGTTCTGCTGCTGAAGTCTTCCTGTCGCGTCATCAGTAGCGTAGGCTAGTATAGGAGTTGTGTGATCGTAGTCAGGTCGCTGATCGCCAAGTAGGAGAAGGGACATTTGACCGCATTGTTGATGGTGGTGAGACAAGGGCTGACGTTTTCTAATTGAGTTCGTTGTTCTGGTCTCCTTTGGTGTGATATTTGTGTATTTCTGCTTTTTCTGGACTGCTCACGACTATCTGGCTTTCAATGTGATGTTGCAATTTGGAATTCTGCCATTTCGCTCTTGCTCATTTTCCTTGCAAGTAGGCAGAGGGAGAAGACAAATGATAGAAAGGGAGGCAATGAAATGTGGAAGAGCAGGCGGGAGGAGAAGCAGGGGACAGCGGAGGTAGAGGAGGAAAGAGAGAATAATAATAATAAGAAGAAGAAGAAGAAAAAGACGATGTAGCAGGAAAAAGACGATGTAGCAGCAGCAGCCAGAAGGCAAGGCAGAAGGGGCGGGAGAAGCAGCAGGCGAAGAGGAAGAGCGCAGGGGAGAGGTGGAAGGAGATGACGACGATGAAGAGGAGCAGGAACAAAAGAACTCAACCGTTGAGCAGGGTGCTGAGAATCCTCATAGAAGAGGAGGATAGGTGAGAGGGAATGGGCAAACGGGGTTGGGGGGAAGTGGAGGATGAGGAGGCAGCAGCGCCATTTGCCCAGTTTTTAAGGTAGATTATGGGATGGACTGGAGACAGAGGAGGAAGAACAGGCAGGCAGTTTAAACCTGAACTGAAGAAGAGGAGGAAAAAGGAAAGCAGGGCTAGCGTCTTCACCCTAATAGGATGCCCGGTCATTATAGCCGTATTTTGTGCAATGTTCAGCCCAGATACAGCTATAACGACTGGGCGTTCTATTCGGGTGAAGACGGTAGTCAGCCGCTGAGGTCGACAAAGGTGCATTACCGTCTCTTTCTACTCGCAGCAGTTAGAGGAACAAAAATTAAGGGGAAAAGGAACATGGAAATTTGAAAATGAATCAAACCTTATAAATTTATAACTAAGCAAGGCTAGGGGGAGCAATGAGGCACAGGAAGAGTGGTGTTGGCAATTGAGAGCAGCAGGAGTAGGAGGAGGAGCGGGAGAAATTGGAAAGAGAGGAGTGGTGTGGAAAGGTGGGGGAGAGGTGGGACAGGAGGAAGGAGAATGGAGGAGCCAAATGTTGATGGTGTGGAGTATTGTGAGGGAAGGGCGGCAAAGGGGGATAGGGAATAAGAGGAGCCAGATGTCGAGTGTGGTACTTGAAATGAAGGATGTGTCTTCGGATCTCGATCTCTCTCTCTCTCTCTCTCTCTCTCTCTCTCTCTCTGTGAACTCTTCGAAAATAGATCAAAAGGAAAATATGCATTGGTGGGGAAAAAAAATCACTAGGTTACTAGGCCATATGGCCCAGGCTACCAGGACAAGGAGAAGGTATAAGGAAGGAAGAACAGGAGGAAGTAGGGAAAGTGGCAGGAAGAGGATGGGCCAGGAGAAAACGGATGGAGGGGGTGGCAATTGGCTAAGGTTGAGAAAGAGAAAGTAAAAAGGAGGCGGTGGACGGGATCTGCGACAAAATCCGATGGAATCAGACTAGTGAAAATAACACTGAATTTTCCTGGGGCCGGTCCCTCAAGACTGCCCCCGTTTTTGGGGGGGACGGAGGCGGAGGAGATCTGCAATAAAATTCGGACCCCAAGGTCTATGCACATTACATCAGATTCTCGTCGTCGGCTCGCTAACAAACTCCTTTTTGTGCTTTTGCACTTGTAGCTGCATTGGCGTAATTCACAGGCATCAGATTTTCCTCGTCTTCTCGCTCACAAACTCCCTTTGTGCTTTTGCACTTGTAGGCTTGCAGCTGCATTGGCGTAACTCGCAGGTTCTTAACGTGAAGCAACCCGCTAGAGCTTTGATTGTGTTTCTCTTCTTGTCTTCTTGTCTTGATCTCTTTTCTGTGGGGATGAGATGAGAGTGTGTTGCGTCTTCTTGCAGGTGCCCTCATGACAGCAGCTTGGGCTGGTGGTAAATCCTCAGCTCCTTTATGTTTGGCTTTATAAGTTTATATTACTATATGATTGTTTTCTTGGGATGGGGTATACAGTATTGTTTCGGACTCTGTTTTCCTTCTCGATACGGCATAAAGTTTGTGCTCTTATCTGTTGGTTTTGCAGGTCCTTCATGGGCTCTGGTACCTCCACAAGGAGGTCCACATTATCCACAGAGATATCAAACCGTCAAATCTTCTAGTGAATCTGCAGGGCGATGTGAAAATTTCGGACTTTGGAGTGAGTGTGGTCCTGGCGAACTCCATGGGGCAATGTGCATCATTTGTCGGGACCTGCACATACATGTCGGTAAGTCCATCTATACTTCTGTGCACTGTGCTGTGGGGTCCTGCCTGCCTTTTTTTGTGTTTTTGTCTGTGGTCGTGCATCCATGAGCTGCACTGTGTGCAGGCACGCTGCGTAGTCAAATGTCCTAATAGTAGGTGGAGAGAGGGGAGAGGAGTTGGGAAAAGGGAAAGGAAAAGAGAACGGGAGGAGGGTGCAGTAAACGTGCGGGAGTTAGAGTGGGGGGGTAGGGGGCAAGAGGGTGGGGATAAAACGTCCTTAATAGGGGTAGGGAAGGAGAGGGGGTTGAAGAGGAGTTGAGTTGGGAAAACCGCCGAAAGGAAGAGGAGTTTGAGAAAGTGTTGAAATCCCAAGAGGAGGGGAGGGACGCTGCACGTGAGGAAAGCAAGGAAATTGCAAGACAGGAGGGGAAGAAGGGGAAATGGAGTTTTAGGATAGTCCTCGAAGAGGAGCGCTTGCAGAGGGGTGATGGGGTTGAGGATAAAACATTGAAATAGGGGTATATTTTAAAAGGGTTGGGGGTTGCAGGAGAGAGAGCGAGTGTGTGTGTGTGTGTGTGTGTGTGTGTGTGTGAGCTGTCTCTTATACACATCTAGATGTGTAGACACAGACCGCCTTGATGGTAGCGAAGTTGATTACTAAATATATCAATTATCTTATAAATATGTTCCACTTTATTTTCAATGATGTAAGTTTAATTTTCTTCATTACTTTATTTATCGTTGTTACAAAATTTTCTAACCAATAATCTCCTAAATATTGTGTTTATCTCTAAGGTAAAAGGACACAATATGATATTTACATATTTCGAATATCGTGTTTTATGCTCTGTCATTAATAACGTGTTAAATTCGCTACTTCATATAATCCAACACCGTAATATGATATATATTTCGATGTCATCTCGACTACCGGTTAAGTTATCAATGACACCTTGTCTTACAGGGCAGTCTGATTGTGTAAGGATAAGTGAATAAGGTAGGAAGACACAATATGATATTTTCATATTTGAAATATTGTGTTTCATGATATATCTTCAATAACGTGTTAGATCTGTTATTCAATATTATCCAACATTGTAATGTGATATATATTTCGATGATATCTCGACTATCAGTTAGGCTATCTGGGACCACTTGTTTGATGGGGCAGCCTGACCCTGTAAGAATGAGTAGAAAAAAATACAAAAAAACTAGGTTACCAGCCGGGCCGCCCGGTTCCCGGGTGGCCAGCTCGGTACAAGAACCTGGAAAGGTCCCAGCAAAAAAAAAAAAAAAAAAAAAAAAAAATAAAAAAAAACTATGTTATGCAGAAAAATAAACTGAACAACTTTNGAGAGAGAGAGAGAGAGAGAGAGAGAGAGAGAGAGAGAGAGAGAGAGAGAGAGAGAGAGAGAGTCTGGGACCTGCATAGAAAAGCAGAGAGAATGGAGGTTAACATATGGTGTGGAGTCCCTACCACCACAAATGCAGCATCCCTCATATTTATCGTTTGTGACCAGAGCCGCAACTGGTCATGTGGAGCACAACACAGATTTTCTTTAGGTCCCCTCTATCCCTGGTGGGGACTGTACATTCGGAGGCTGCTGGGTGCTCTTGTTGCCGAATGTCTTCATCAATTTGCAACCTGGCCAGAGAGCCGTCCCCAATGACTTCCACTGTTGGTCTGTTGCCCTGGCCCTCGAGGTAGGGGTCCAGGATTGGATAAACAACAGGCTTGACCAAGCAGGTTTGTGGGCAGTGACAGTGTGGCTCTTAGAGAGAGAAGAAAAAGGGGTGTTATGGCCATTGTTTTGAGTGGTGTGAGAGAAACAACTCTTGACAGGCATCTGATCCCTGTGCTTGCATCTGTTGGCAGAAGCGAAGGATCGTTTTTATCCTCTTCTCTCTACCCCTTTCCACATACCCTGGAAGTCTTCTCCTCAGAATTCCATTTTCGTAACGTCATATTGACCTGTTGTGGGGATTTGTGTCATTTCTGTGGTCATGCTCTCGTTTTTGTGAGGGATAATGGAGTGTGGGCGAGTGTGCCGGTGTAAGGACCGGAGGGGCAGAGTGGCTGTATCATGTTGGTGAGCGGAGTGAAAGTGCACAGGCCATCCCTCTCTCTCTCTCTCTCTCTCTCTCCTATAGCTGGTGTGCAGGGCAGACATGATGGAGCCTGGTCGAATTTGTGGCATGGCTTGTGGTTGTGACAGATGCATAGTGGCTATGTTATGGATTGCTGGGCAGAGTGGCTGTATCCTGTTGGTGAGGGGAATGAAAGTGCACAGGCCATCTCTCTCTCTCTCTCTCTCTCTCTCTCTCTCTCTCTCTCTCTCTCTCTCTCTCTCTCTCTCTCTCTCTCTCTCTCCCCCTCTCTCTCTCTCTCTGTGTCTCCTCCATAGCTGCTGTTGAGGACAGACATGATGGAGCCTGGTTGGATTTGTGGCATAGCTTGTGATTATGACAGATGCATGGTGGCTAAAGGAGGTTTTGTATGATTGAATGCTCTGCGGGGAACGGTTCTGAGCATATGCATGTGGTTGAATGCTCTGCGGGGAACATTATTACGCGGATGTATAACAAACACTCGTATGTGTGCTCTTGATGGTTGTTTCGATTTCTCGCCTTGGTTGGATGGTGCAGCCTGAGCGAATAAATGGCGGCACATACGGTTACGACTGCGACATTTGGAGTCTAGGTCTTTCCTTGATGGAGTGTGCACTAGGAAGGTTTCCCTATCAGCCTCCCGGAAATGAACTGGGATGGGTTAATTTCTTTGATCTCCTGCACACTATCGTTGAACAGCCTCCACCAACTTTGCCAGAAGACCAGTTCTCTCCAGAATTCTGTGATTTCATCACTGCATGGTAAGTGCATTGTTCCTCATCCAATCTTTTCTGCTGCATCGAGGTTGTCCAAGATTTTGGCATCCCTGCTTCCTGCCTGCTTTTCCCTACTTGTGATGCCTCTTTCCTGTCTGTCCATTGCTGTCTTATCATCCATTGATGTGCCGCAGCATGTGGCGCAGCATCACGATGTGGCCCTTCAGGCTGTGGGTCATCTGGTTGTGCTGTCTGTGTAAGGAACACTTGGTCGCCCGATAGTGTTTTCCCATAGCAATTCTGCTGTTTTGGTGAAGAAGATGCACAGGAGACGACCAGTTCGAGGGGGCACGCTCATTCGAGTGCCGACAATGAAAGCCTTGAGCAGGCCACCAGCACTCTAATACAGCTGCAATTTGTCCTCCGTGGCTTAATGACTATGGCCACTGACCCTTACTCACTTCCAACTAGACTAAGGTCCCTTTGCACGCCAAGTTCCCTCTCCTAAAGTACCCCTCTCTCCTTGTGTTCTCTTTCCTAGCCTTTATTCAGTATGGTGTATGGCTCCTGCTTTCTGTGTCTAGCTGGGCTCCTGCTTTCTGTGTCTAGCTGGCTATGGATGCTAAGGCTCTCAAGGCTTCCTTCCCTTGGCGGCTGCTGGAGGAGGCCTCCAGTGCTAGAGCTTCAGCACATGAGCCGCCAAGATGCAGAATGATTGACTCAATATGGCACGTCTGTGGTATATACTATATATTCTATTCATCGACTGGCAAGGGCAGGGCAGAGTGATTGGATCAACTGGGTTGATGTCCGTAAATGTGGCGTGTTGGCTGGAAACTTGTTGATGTGCAAAAATGCGTGCGGCCTTTTTTTTATCACTTTGGATGGGTTGCGGATTCTTACTCTGTGACTTCTCCCTCGGGTCTGGGGCTGACATTTGTAACGCCTGATGGGGCCTGCGCGTTCTGAGGTGTATAAAGAATCTGCAGCCGGTATCCGATTGGGTTAGGTCTCTTGTGAACACAATGCGACCTCTTAGGCTGACCTTTGACTTCTGTACAATGGGCAAATGGACTTCTACCCATGCTTGTATGATTTTGGGGCTTATTTTGACCGGATCTCTTTATGGGTCACATTCATGGGCGCTCAACAAGATAGGACCTTTGCAAAATCTTTGGGGGGGGAAAAATCTGGTTAGAAGTTCATGTTCCATAAAAAATTAAAATATGATAAAAATGGACTTCTACCCATGCTTGTATTATTTTGGGGCTTCAGTCTGGTGTGAACTTAAAATGGAAGGTCATGTTCCATAAAAATACGATAAAAATAACTCGGGTTGACGGTCGCTGCACGAGTCTTAGAGATCAAACCGAAGACAGAAATCACAAGGGAAACAAATGCTCTCCTACGCCCCTTAGATTCCTCTTTGGGCCTGTCCTTCGGGACATCAGTTTTTGGAACGATACAGAGAAGATTAGCATGGCCCCTGCGCAAGGATGACACGCATAAATCGAGATTCCTCTTTGGACCTCAGTCTGCGACCATCGGAGGTGGGTGCTTCGCAAAATAGGCTCTCACTTGGGTCCCGTCTTGCAATTCAAAAACGACCATACTTCCTGACACTTTCCTGGAAATGTGTCTTCCCAAGCCTCTTCGGACTCATGCAGATTGATTAGGGTGTGGCGACAGGATGTCTGGGTTGGGCGGTCCGGACTTTATGCCTGGCGATTTGCAGTGAACTTGAAGGACAAGTGTGGGGGGGGGAAGGGAGGAGAAGTCGGGAGGATGCGGCAGCTGCACAGCTCATTTCTGACAATGACAGATCAGTAGGGAAAGTAGGATGAAATGTAGGCAGTCGAGAAAGGCAAGACAGGAATGTGATTGTCAAGAGAGCACGGAGAGGGGGAAGAGGGCGGGAGGAGGTGAGGGAAGAAGAAGGGGCAGCTGCTGAGTGTGACACTTGAAGAGCTGTCAGGGCGTTCCTTGTCCTCTTTTCAATGATGCAGCCCATTCGAATTGTAATGCTGCAGTATTATCTATGGTTAATTGCGAGCAGACTGCCACAGGGTAGCACTTTGATGATGCAGTGTTTGTATGCATGGCACAGTTTGGAGGTCCAAGACGATTTCATGTCTTCCTCTTGTCTATTGGGCACAGCTTAGTGCTCTCAGGCTTCGTTGAAGCAACATGAAATGCGAAAACCAGAAAGGCGAGTCTGGTTATACTTCGTTGCTGGTGGGGGAATGGCATCAATCTACAACTATTTGTTTGTTAACATGTGTCAAGGACTTCAGATGTCTTCCTATACGATAACTATTAACTACGCATGGCATTGCCCCGTGCCCCCTTTTCCACTACTATTTTTGTTTGTTGAAAAGAGTTGCTTATCTTTGCTTCACTGACAGGACCCGACTATCTCTATGTACGTTGCTCTTGCTGTTTCTTTTCAGCCTTCGGAAGAATCCAAAAGAGCGGCCATCTGCGGGCGAACTGCTGGTAGGTCCCATTAGAGTTCCCAAGTTTCTGTTCAAACTTTCTCTCTTCATTGTTTTCAATAATCTTTGGAGAATGTGCTATGATTAATCTGTAGATTAATCGTGTGCGCCCACCTTTTTCTGCAGTGAACCTGCAGGACAAGCCGGGGGCGGAAAGGGAGGAGAAGTCAGGAGGACGCGGCAGCTGAGGAGGAGCACATTATTGACATAATCTGTAGATTAATCATATGTCCTGCTCCCATCTTTTTCTTTGGTTGAAGCAAAATTCAAATCTGAAGCTAAGACATGAAGCACTTTGAAGAACAGATTCAACAGAAATAATTAAGTCAAGAATACCCAGTAACAATTATCTACCTCATGTCGCATCCTCGCTTGTGACCCTCGTCGTCCCTCACATTTTATAACATAATTCATTACCTGATAGATCCACCGAGCGACCGCTATTAAGACATACAAGTGAATGCCTGCGGCAGACGAGGCGGGGACCACGAGGGGGGGAAAAACATATCGCGGGTGGCACCACACGCAGCAGGCTGCAGTATGCGGAGGGCGTGGTGCCACGCAGGTCGGGCGCTAAACAGCGGAGTATGTGGGCGATGACACACTCCCTAAATCAGAAGGATGCAGAGCCAGTAGTTAAGCGAGGCCCAGTGCCCCCGGCGCAAGGATGAGGGCGATATGGTGGTGTATCTTCCCTTGTTCTAGCGGAAGATTCATTCTCATACCCCCCCTCCCCTCACAAAAAGAAAACTACCGAGAGGACAACTGTAAATGGGCCGAATGGCTGTGAGATCCCATTTCCAGCACGAGCAGTTGAGTGAGGCCCCATGCCCCCTGTGCAAGGATGAGGGCAATATTGCGGTGTATCTTCCTGTGTTCTAGTGGAAGATTCATTCTCATACATCGCCCCGCGCAAAAAAAAAACATACTAAGCGAACAACGATAAATGGGCCTGCTGGCTCTGACAACCCATCGCCCAAAAACGCCAAAAAAAAGCAACGAATCTGGTGAAAACTAGTATCTACTGAAAAAAAACAAAGAATCTACAGTAGAGCCAGGCCCGTTACATGAGAACGAATCCTCTTCTAGAACATGGAAAGGTACAGCACCCATTTTTCCTTTCTGTCTTTTGTGGCCAGCTCTTGAACTTGCGTGGCACGCAAAAAGAAAAAACAGCGCTCGGTCACCCTGAAGCACCTCCACCGCTATAAGCCAGCCTCTGAACTCGCGCAAATGGACAAAAAAATGCCTGCGATTTCTGCGGTTTCTGCTCCCCCCCCCCCCCCACCCAACCCCAACCCCAACCCGTGCCAAGCGTTTTCCCAACGCTGTAAGCCCGGCCTGGCGGGAGCGTTATGCCAGACCCGGCTTACACTTTAGTACGAGTATAGAGAGAATCCTCCTTCCTCACTGCCGAAGGTAGTGACGTACATCTGGAAGAAGACTACCGTGTTCACCCGATTACAACGTACGGCCATTATTACTGTATCTAGACTCGAAGTTGCCCCAAATACAGCTGTAATAACCGTACTTTGTATTCGGGTGAAGGTGGTAGTCCTCCTCGGCCCTTTCCTGCTGCCCGTGATGGATGTGCTACACTGGGATGACGGGACCTGAAAGCCCACCATAGCTGCCACTTAGTTACACTCCTGGTAACTCTCCTCCTACCTTCTTCCCCCGAATATAACGTACGGTCATTATAGCTGTATCTAGACTGAAAGATGCCTCAAATACAGCTGTATAATGACCGTACGTTGTATTCGGGGGAAGAAGGTAGTGGTCCAGACTCTCTAAACTTTCCTCCTGCTCTCATGGGAACCCTAAGTCCAATCGTTCTACTCCACAAGAGTAACCAGAACTGCTATAGCCACATCAAATCATTTGGCCCCTCCACAGCCAGAAGTCCCCTGCAATTGGAGCAGGAGCGGAATGTTTGTTGGTTCAAGCAGCTTCCTGGGTCCATGCTATATCTGTACTCTATCCTGAACTACGTAACTCACATTCCAAGTAGAACTGGGTCCATGCTATATCCGTACTCTATCCTGAACTACGTAACTCATGTTCACGTAGAACTGGACCCCGGCTCTGCCCTGTACTGGTGGAGGAGCAGAATGTCTACTCCTGTCCTTTGACATTCACCTTAAGCTGCTCTGCTCCTCCCCTTCAATTGGCGGGGCAGCAGATAGTCTGCTGGTTCAAGCAGCAAGTAATCTGGATCCAGGCACTGCCCCTCTATTATATCCTACTCTATCCCAAACTCCCTACATCACCTCCAGGTACTACTGGACCTACCGGGGCTCCTTCCCGAGCTACCAGGTACCCAGTCTTGGTGGGAAACCTGCTATCACACTCCCCATTCTGCAGTCTACCTTGTGGATCAGGGACTTGAAACCACGAGGTGCACAGTGCACGCTGCCCATGAGTGTGGTGCATAAACCAATTTCGCACAGCCGTTTCTTTCTGCAATATGTATACTCTGCACCCCATTTACTCACGGCAGTCCACCAACGTCATTGTGATCTTGCCCTAAGCCTTCTGGGTAACCAGGCCTACCCATCACTCCATGGGTAATCCAGCCTACTAATCCTGTTTAGCGTCCACTCACGTACTTGTACTTCGGGTCAACCGTGTCCCTTTTAAGGCCCGTAATTTCAGATAAGCCGCACCCTAGATGTGGATCGACACATGAGCATGCAGGTCAGTATCACAGCACACCCAACCAACCCATGAGCACAGTCAAAAGGTGCAGACTTTCTTCACTGTTAGCCTAAACACAGCAATACTCGTACTGGGAGTTCTCAGCCAAAGTATACCAAAAGATGGCATTTTCTCAGTCACAACATAAATGTACTATTTACCAGATAATGGTCGTTGCGGCGACGTTGCACTTATTAAGTTATTAGTATATTGTCAGATGTGCAGAGTGATAGATACGTTTTAAGCGTACAATCTCAACTCTGTTTTATGTCTCCGAGGGCTGGGTGCATGGGTTGTTGCTTGAGAGACTCTCTTGCTGTCAAGCGCCCCTCAGTCGTCCGTCCTCATACATCCAGAGTGTCGCTGGACACATTGATGGCGGTTTTCGCTGGACAAAAAAATTGATGGCAGTTTTCGCTGGACAAATTGATGATGAACATAGTCTTGCAGAGGGTCAATGATGCAAAAAGCTCTAAAAGGGAGGGTCAGCTATTAGATAGAGAAAGATGAAAACGAAGCCCCTAAATCAGAGGACAAATTGATGATGAACATAGTCTTGCAGAGGGTCAATGATGCAAAAAGCTCTAAGGGAGGGGCAGCTATTAGATAGAGAAAGACGAAAACGAAGCCCCTAAATCAGAGGAAATCAGGCACGCTGCCCATGCTTCTTTCTATGCCATGATGGAGAGTGAACAAACGCACACACGATGTTGGGTGGGCCGAATTGCATCTCTCTCCGGAAGCAAGTGAAAAAAGAAACGGCGGTACAGAGGCAAAGTGCGAAGGCTGTGGTTGGTTCCCTATTGCAGATCCATAAGGAAGTTGACGGGCATGGGTGAACAGAATGTATGCCATCCGTCAGCCTGTCCAACCAGTGCAAGTCTGCAACTCTACTCTTCCGTCTGTGGTGCAGGGTAGCCCTCTTGCTTGGTTGGTCAAGGGGCAGGAGTAATTATCCAGATTGCCAGACTACCGTCTTCATCCGAATACAATGCCCGGACGTTATTGCTGTATGTAGACTGAAAGTTGCCCCAAATACTGCTTATAACAACCAGGCTTTCTTTTTCTTTTTTGAGAAGAAAAAGGGCGTCAACCTTGAGATACCATCATTGACCTGAGCGGCCCCAGGTAACTCAGAGTTCTTTTTGTTCTGTTCATCGGATTGCATCCGGATTCCAACTCGGCTCTGTATTCCGACAGTTCATGTGTGTACCAACTGCGCTAGCCCCGTTCGTAACGACTCGGTGTTCTATTTGGGTCAAGACGGCAGCTAGGTCTGTCAAGGGCCAGAAATAATCCTCCACAGTGAATTCTCAATTGTGTGTTTCTGGTGTTTGCTTCCTACATATAGCTTATCGTCATCTGCCCATCCATATGCGCTTCTTTGTCAGTCCACCTGCATGGCCATGTGCCTACCCCCCTGTGAACTAACCTGCCTGATCAACTTGCATTGGGATGCATTCTATGAAGATGCGTCGTCGTTGGCATGTCAAGCTTGCTCTGTGTCGTCTTGTTTCCTTCGATCTTGGTTTGTCTTTGGTTCGTAAACTTTGTCGTCCTATCTATCATGGTGAATCGAACTGCTGAATCGAACTGCTGAATCGAACTGCTGAATCGAACTGCTGAATCGAAGTGCTGAATCGAAGTGCATCGAACCGATATGTCTCGTCTGACCGTGAATGGGTAACGATTATGAAAGTGTTATGCTTCTTTGAACTGCTATGAACTGGCTTCGTTGCTTCTTACTTGATTGGTTTCTTCTTATTTAAGCGACTGCTTGTGAAAGTTTGCTCACATATCAGCAACCTGGGCTAGGAGAGGGGGTTATTTCTCGTCGTATGCTTAAGTGGCAGATATCTAGGTTCTCATACCAAAGCTTGCCCTTCACTCTATTGAAAGCAATAGTTTAGCCTCCTCTTCAGTGTTGCACACCCTGACCGTTGGTGACCCTAGACTGGTCGGCTGGTTGGCACCTAACGGTCGGGGGTCGCCGGCGCCCCACAAAAAAAAAAAAAAAAAA